CGAGTGATCCCCCCCACATTCGGCAGCAGCAGCAGCAGCAGCAGCAGCAGCAGCAGCAGCAGCAGCAGCAGCATTTTTTTGTTTGTGTCTGTGTTTTGTGTTCAGGGCTTGAAACGTCATCAACTAAACCCTAAACCCTAAACCCTAAACCCTAAACCCTAAACCCTACACCCTAAACCCTAAACCCTAAACCCTAAACCCTAAACCCTCGCTGGATCACACGAAACACAAAACCACAAAATGGTAGGAGGGGTGCCCTCTCGGGGGGCGTCGGCTCAGCAGCAGGAGGGACCGCAGCAGCAGCAGCAGCAGCAGCAGCAGCAACAGCCGCCGCAGCAGCAGCAGCAGCCCCAGCAGCAGCTGCTGGAGCAGCAGCAGCAGCGACCTCAGCGGCAGCAACCGCAGCACCAAGTGCAGCAGCGGCAGCAGCAGCAGCGGCCGCAGCAGCAGCAGCGGCCGCAGCAGCAGCAGCGGCATCAGCAGCAGCAGCGGCAGCAGCAGTGTCCGCAGCGGCAGCAACAGCAGCAGCAGCGGCAGCAGGGGCAACAACAACAGCAGCAGCGGCAGCAGGGGCAGCAACAGCAGCAGCAGGGGCAGCAGGAGCAGCAACCGCAGCAGCAGATGCGGCGGCGGCGGCGGCGACAGCAGCAGCAGCTGCAGCAACAGCAGCAGGGGCAGCAGAGAGAAGAGAAGGAGCCTGTCAGAGCAGAGGTGCAGCAGCAGCAACTGCAGCAGCAGCAACTGCTGCCGCAGCAGCAGCAGCAGCACGGAGTGGATCTGCAACAACTGCTGCAGCAGGAAGTGCCGCCGCAGGATCAGTTGCTGCAGCAGCAGCAGCAGCAGCAGCCCCAGCAGCAGCTGCAGCAGCAGAAAGAGCTGCAGCAGCAACAGCAGCAGCAGGAAGAGTTGCCGCAGCAGCAGCAGCAGCAGCAGGAAGACTTGCCGCAGCAGCAGCAGCAGGAAGACTTGCCGCAGCAGCAGCAGCAGCAGCAGGAAGACTTGCCGCAGCAGCAGCAGCAGCTCGAGCTGCCGCAGCAGCAGGAGCAGCAGGAGCAGGAAGACTTGCTGCCGCAGCAGCAGCAGGAGCAGGAAGACTTGCTGCC